CTCCCTTGAAACCTGGGAGATAAAAACATAACAAAGGAGATTTGCCATCACTGCCCGTTTCTTTCGCAAAGTGTTCCTATTTGTATGTTAACAAGAAAATAATTCAGACGGTGTACTTTAAGTGGGCTCATCAATCAACCTTACATATATGGGGATTTATTGCAATTCAGGGGTAGAGTAATTACTTTGTGAGGCTCAGCTTCTTCATTGTTAAGACATAAACAGATATCCCATCATTTAGACAAGTTCTGATAATCAGGATTTAAGAGATATTCATAGTGAACAGATCCTGAAAACCTACAGTCCCATAAAATAAGTGGAGAGTGTGGCACCTGTGATAAACCGCGGTTGGCTGAAGTGGTTACCCTCATTCACTTTTTATATATATACTGTATGTTGTTATAAAAATATAAAATTAATGGGTCAAAAATCTAGATGGAAAGGTGAGAAGCTAAAAGCACTATTTGCAGCATGAACACACTATAGTTACCACCACCCATCATTTCTGTGTTTACACTAAAAGGTGCATAAAATCATGGGCAGAAAGAGTAAGGAGCAAAAGCTAACTTAATGGAGTAGTTCTTGAATATCTCGACAGCATAGTAGATAATAAGAAGCAACTTAAGAACTAATTTGTGGATACTATGAACCAGTATCTGCTGTAGATATCTACATGGTGGTGGTAAAAGTAAAATGCACCAACGACTTTGAGCCGATTGCATACGTCACCATTTGTTTTTGATTTGAATAAAGTGTGTTTTCGATGCCTTACAGCCCCTCAGTGTCTAAACTGGGGGGTTAACATCCCACAATGCATCAGTGGTCATTGCAGACACACTCAGCATAGAGCTGTACTCTACTAAGTGCCAATTTATAGTTAAGAAAGTGGTCAATACATTATATTACGGACATTTTTACTATTTTTGTGTCCCATGAAATCAAGAGGTGCTTCCGTGTGGCCAGTTGACAGGTGGAGTTACAAGAGTTTATAATGGCAAAGCACTAAATACTGTATATTATTGAATAACACAAACCAGACAAAACTGAATTATCAAAACATATTTTCACCATCATGACATGAATGACAAAAGGCACACTGTGTGGTAGCCAGACTAGGTACATCAACCACAATACATCCGACTTGCCATAATCAGTAATAGGCTATAAGGATTAAACTGACTAGCGTGAAAACCCTTTTTTAATTGCATGACATGGGGGCAATTGATTTGCCCCCCATGGCATTATAGGCAGGTTTACATACAGTGTGTGTGTGTGTGAAGTCTATCTGCTATTGAAGATGGGATAACTCAGTGTAAATTATTCTAAAACTCCTGAGGTGAAAAGAGGCTGTCAAACAATGGGTAACTGTGTTGTTGCAGCATGCAGATACATTATGACAATCTTCTCTTTGCAGATGGCAACTCAAACTGTTTGATGGTCTGGGAAACAATTAAGCTGCACAATCACTATTAGAAGGAGATGGCCTACTGCTACAGCTAATGGGTTGGTGTCTTGCTGTCAGAATGGTATTTACCACACACCGGAACAGGCCAGACGTTAAGCTGAGGCTCTGTGAAGCATTACCCCTCTTCCTAGAGGGACACGATGTACACGAGTGAACAACAGGGTGTTTCAGTTTTTCCCCAATGATGATGTCGTCCTAACCTGCTCTATGCGCCAGCGAACAGGCTAAGCGACGTACGCTTGTTTCAAATACCGTTCGCCCTTGCTCTGTTTTTGCAAATTTTCGCGAACCTGCTCCACCTCCAACCTGTTTTCATAATCGATGCCGACAGCAACTGACAGTTAATCAATATCACTATAGAGAGCAATATCGCTTGATTTGTCATGCTCCGTTTGAGTTTGATCGCCTGTTGAATGTTAGTGATTCTTGGTACTAGTGGACTGATCAGATTGTATTCTTTAAAGGTGCAATGTATAAGATCCGGCCAGAATTTACTTTAAAGCATAAACAATGAGCTAACATTATCTATGTATTGTGTTACAGAGATATCTACTGAAATGAGCATGCTAACCAGCTAGACCGGTCCAGTGTTGTCTTAAGACAAATCCCATCGTTAAGTAAAAACTTGAGAGTATGTGTTCATTTGAGTGTGTTTGTGTGCTGGCAGTTACAGTGTACTTTGGCCAAAAAGCTGATTGGGCCCTTTAACAAGCCATTATCCACACAAGGCAATCGGCCTCCAACAACTACGTGACTCATCCCGAAGGGGCTGCGCTGTCTTCTAAGCCCTTCTTGCTCCTCACCTCCATAAATAATTCATTTAGCACAGCATGGAAAACGCATATCAATTAGCCAGGTTTATTTTTTTCCTACAGTGAAAAAACAGCGGGTCTCTCTCTACATGCCAGCTAGAGGAATGCAGTGAAACAGTGCATCATTTAGCATTTCTGGACAAGGCTGCTTAGACTGCATGGCCTCATTCTTCTTTTCCTTCAACAAATAAGGAAAAAACTGCAACAAAGTCGGACAGTGTCAATTATTCTGTTTGATTTGAGCAGGGATATCTTTCCTTTTAATTTGTGAGGATTGATTCTAGAGTTTGCCTGTTTTAAATGGCTTTAGTTACCCCCCCAGTAAAGTATAGATCCCTGACAATGATTTCCAGTCTTAAAAATAATTACAGTTTCTACTTTCTTTCTGTCTCTGTGAGGATATGGACTGGAGTCATACATCTTTCATGGAGTGCAAACATGCAGCTAAACTTGAAATATGTTCAGCTTAACCTTAAAAAATGTTTTATTCGTTTATTTATTAGTTGTCAATTCCATAGTCATGCGACAACAGGATTCAAGACCAGCAGAACCAAAAGAGATCATCAGTTTTTCTTGATAACAGAGTAGGTTTACATCCATACTATACTTTAATCAAAGTAGGATTTGTAGATATGGTGCTCAAGAACTAGGGGTTTACTTTGGAGTTACTATAACCAAAGAACACCACAAGACGTCCCTGTTGCTTGGTTACTGTGCCTGAAGTGAATCGTGACTCTGATGGCCTCGGGCTGCTGGGGTGAAATTAGTTCAAATGAACAATGATTTGAGACTTTGCTGATACAGAATTTGATATTTCATGTGCGCAAGTCGGTCAAAGGAAAGCAAACTAAGTATAATTTTTCAATTCTGTCCGACATAATATATATACATATATGCACATATACATATATAAACATATACATGCATACATAAAACACATATACATATGTAGATATGTAGTGCTAAAATGTGCTATTTGTGGATGTTAAAGTGGTAGATGCAGTGGATATTGGTAGAGGAAGGTTGTCAAGGATTTGCAGTTACTTTAAGATTTATAATGTGCACTAAGATTCCAGTTATGCTAGCAGGGTGTACAAACTAACTTAGACTAACTGTACAGCCTTATAATGGCATTAGCCTTGTATTAGCTGGATATTGTATTGTAATTAATTTGTTGTTTGTGCCTGTGTTTAACCTTGTTCTATCATTTGCACCATCGGCATGATTATGCCCTTGATATGTTTCATTATGTTTTAATAATGGCTGACTGTGGCTTTAAACAGGTTTTGCGGTTTGATCCCCCACCTCCTTTTGGCCACGTGTGTTTGAGCGAGACCATGAACACAAAGTTGCTCCCCGGGTGCTTGACAGCAGCCCACTGCTCCTAGATGCTTAGAATGGGTCACATTTCATCTACAGTCAGGGCCATAAGTATTTGGACTGCGACACCATTTTTCTAATTTTGCCTCTCTTGTGAATATAATGATCATTTGTAATAATTGGAGGAAAATCCTTTGCAGTCAATGATTGCCTGAAGTCTTGCAGCCATTGTGAAATGCTGAGTTTCCTCCCTTGAGATGCTTTGCCAGGCTTTTACTGCAGCCTCCTTCAGTTTTATCTTAAGTAAATGAAAAGCCTGCTCACTTGGGTTGAGATCAGGTGACTGACTTGGCCATTGAATAATATTCCATTTCTTTGCCTTGAGAAGCTTTGGGTTTGTTTTCCCAGTATTTTCCCAGTAAATGTCATTCATCTGCACTTCGAAGTGCCGACCAGCTACCAAATGCTAAGTCAATATTTTAGAATCATCTCCAGACTTTTTTTATCTGCCTAATTTGCCATGAAATAACGAGGGAACAGGCCACACTTGGCCATCAAACCGTTTAAGACAATTATCCAATTACTTTTTGAGCCTCTGAAAATGTGGGGGACTGTGTAAAAGTGTCTAAGTCTTAAACTGTTACTGCAATAGTTTTGTTATATTCATTGAATTAAAGCTCAAAGTCTACACTTTAACCACGTATTGACTGCTTCATTTCAGATCCAATGAAGTCGTCTAAAGAGGCAAAATAAGAGAAATTGTGTCACAGTCCAAATACTTCTGGCCCTGACTTAAGTATACCTTATATGCAATTTTTTATTCTAACAGGTGGGTGATGGGAGTGAGGTGTCTATGAAGTTGTGCAATGGTGGGGATTTTTTAAATGCATACTGTTTTTATCCACACAATTCCCTGTTTCAAGGTCAGTATGCTATATTTATTTATTTATTAACATCTTGTACCAAGCCGTTCTTTGGTGCATATCACTCTTGTTTAAATACAGTTGTATTGTGTGCTTGTGAATGTGATGTTTGAGGCAGAGGTTGTGGAAAGTAAAGCTAATTTTAAAGTGAAAATCCTTCAGATTTCAGCCATGGTTGATTTGGAATTTCTTTTTGAGTGAAAACAAAGGAATTGTGCTTGCAGTTTAGCAATCTGGAGTTTTGGGCTGCGTCTAAACGTCCATGCTTACATGCTATTTTTCAGAATTGTGTGCCTATAGTATTTCCATAGAGTCTATACAATAGAGAAAAAATGTAAAGCAGTATTTTTTCCGGGTATGTCGCCACAGGAACAAAGTTTGTAATACTGCAAATATATAAATTCTATTATCAGTGTGCCACCATTGGGTTACCTTCTTTGGCGATGGTGAATAAGGACACAGGCAGAGGTCATGTGAGATAAGACTTCATTGTGTTTCATAGATCGTTATACAAAACAACCTTTATTACAGCTACCTTTATGGTTCTTTAAAAGTCGTGCAAACAGGACATAATACATTTCCAATATCACTTTAACAACTAAATATTTGAATGATACCAAAAAAGCTAAACAGAATCTGCCCAAAGCATTTGTATGAAGATGAGCCCAGGGAGAGCAGAGTAGTGGGAAACATGTCATTGCGTCACATTAACTGATAAAAGTACTGATCACATATTACAGCAGAAAAGCAACAACAACAAAAAAAAATAAAAATCACCCTCCCTGGTATAACAAGTCACCTTTTATATTAAGTTGTAATTATTTATTCATAATGGTAAATTCTTCAACACTTTGTGGCTCACTTATAAGCTGTTATTTACTGTCCGGTTGTGAAACTTTTGCTTGGTCCATGTTCATCCTCCTCCAGCATGACATTTGTTTTGTCTTTTTGTTGTTTGGGAGGTTTCCTGAAAGGGTCCGTCTGACCTCGGACCTAAGATTTATAATTCCAGATTTTTAGTTTGGCTAACTCCTGAGAGACAACCCCTTCCATTAAAGTAACTCTACTCCCTCTTGACACCATGGGCTAGTAAAACTGAATTTTTGTTAATCGTATTTTGAACATTTGCTCCCAATTTATTCAACAGTTTTACAAAGGAAACAAAAGGGAATAGAAGGAAGCTTTAGCCCTGCTGGTTATCCCCTCTTCGTTGCCTTTCCTTCTGACGGTAGTGGAAGAGGCTGGTAGTGTCGAGATTACCTGCATGGGAGATCGCTTCTGCAAACAGCTTCACCACCTAAGCACACACAAAAACTAGAGTTACCGCCTCGCGGTTGTATGCCGCCGCCAACAAGTCTCAGTTCACATCCACGTCTGTCTGAAAATGTCATCATTTCATCTCATTAGCTATTTGTGTGAAATAGTCAGTTAGAAAATCAATTCTTGAGTTATGGCCAAAAAGTGTTTTGAAAGGTCACAATGACGTTGAACTTTGCCCACTAAAATCTAATTGGTTCATCCTTGAATCCAGATGGATGTCTGGGCCAAATCTGAAGACATTTCTCTGAACAGTGAGTTCCCACAGTCACCGGTAGTGTGACATGTACTGACCTGATAATTGGTGATGAGGGGAACACCGTGGTCCACAGCCATCCTACGGATGATGAAGTTATCTTTCAGGTGGCGAGAGTTGTTGTTGGGCAAGTTGACCACCAGGTCAATATGACCCTCGCTGACAAGTCTATTAAAAAAAAACAGTGTCAGAGTTGTGATAATACAACTGAATAAACTGTTTCCTGTAATTAAGAGTCATTTGTATTGTTGATCCCATTAAGAATGAAGCCCTATTTCTGCGATTCTTTGCAGCCTTTAGCCACTTTCAGCCCAATGATTTGGTTCTGCAGTACATAGGTGTGCACAAATGACTCTCACCGAGCACAAAGTGACAACGCGCTAAGGACAACTAGAACCCGATGAGGAAATTCATCTACACGTAGAGCAAGTCAAAGTGACCCGGCTAATTCCCTGGGTCTTACTCGGTCACTTTGTGGACCCAACCGGATGGTTGGGATGCCCTTACTGGTCTGTTTCGGCTGGACGTGAACGACGATCCTTTGCTAATATGTTTTCTGCATGGAATTGTGTGAAGAATATAAAGCCTCTGCTTCTCAGAGTTTGCCTGCTCCCTAGTGGTGACAATGAACGTGCCAAATAAAGCTACATATGACTCTTTTGTAAACTCGTTGGGATACACACACATGACTGTCATTTAAATTAAAGAGTCCAATACCTAAAAAAAAAAAGCTTTTTAATGGAATAAAAAACTAAGTTTAGTTTATTTGAGGTTCCCTTGTTTATAAGATGTTTTTAAAAGGGAGTTGACAAAATCATGTAAAACTTTAGATTTTAAATTGACTAACTTTAAATTATTAGCCCTTTTTGTAGCAGTGTTTGAATTTATTTTGTTTACCTCTTACGTATATACCTTACTCTCTCTTACACTCACACACAAGCGGCTGAGTTGCCTTTTTCATTTGAAGGCCTTTGACAGACAGCATTGAGTTAGTATTCGATTTCTAAAAGAAAATATGGACATACAACAGCCACAACAAAGGTCATGTTCTTCTCTATAAAGAGCTGGCCTCTATGCCACCTAGCACAGCTGATGCCTCCCAGCCAGCCTTGTGTGTGTGTGTGTGTGTGTTTATGTGTTTGCTGTTTCGGTCTAGGCCTATTACATTCCCTTTACATCCTCCTCTTCACCAGCTCATTTCCAAACAAACCAGTCCAGATGGCTTCAGTGCAGCATGATCATGACTTGTTTTTGGAATCATTAGCTGAAAATTGCAGTCAGTCAGCCTGCTACAATCAATCTATACCGTTCGAAAAAGATTGTACTTTTCACAACTGGATGAAATGCATATTTTTGCTTTTTTTGTTGATTGCAATGAAAACCCAAATGCTTCAGCTGCTTTTTTTAATTTTCACAATCGTGACTTGACATTGCTCATCGTCATCTTTCCTATTCTGGCTTATGCAGTAACTCTGGACTTCTAAGTCTGCTACATCGTCTTTGATTTTGTCAGCATATTACAGAGCTAATGAGGGGGCTATGCCCAGATATTAAGGCAGTATCTGATTAGACATCCGATTAGTTATCCGGATTTTGAATCTATCTGAATTTATGTATTACATAAGCACCACCTCAGGAAGCCATAAGCAAGTCTTAGCCTCGGCGTTTTGACTCAGAGTTTCACTTTAGCCGTCTTTGTTTTCAATGTGTCAAAAGAAGTAAAACATCAATGAAGTGTTCAAAATGAATATTTCCCAACCTCTTAATACTGGGCAAACTTGAATCTCCTCCTTTATCAGATGGCCAAGCAACGGGAGTAGCAGGCACATCATTGGCACACAGCCAGGCAGAAGTGGCTTCAGTAGCAAAGAGCTAGAGGACAGAAACAACATATCCAGAATGTCAAACAATATTGAGGGGGCAGAAGGCTCCATCAACCAGTGTTGAAAATCAAGGGAGTAAATATGATTTTGAGGCGTTCAAGCTTTCAATAACTCACCTTGAATCCTTCCTCTTTCAGCTGGTGGGCTGTAGCCAGGAAGTTGGGTCGGAAGGAATGCTGAAAGGGAGGGACATTTGAATACTGAGAACAGAAATGTTTTCACTTTGATTTTTCTATTCTTGTAAAATGGTTTCACAGCAATTGTAGAAGAAAAGGTCCATCACCTAAAGTTCCTCTAGTCGTTGGTGCAATGGTCAGACCTCTTCACTTGTAGCATGATGTTTTATGATGCATCATGTGGTGCACTGGAGTTTGACAGTTACATTAAGTTTGCTTTTCAAATTAGTTTTTTTTTATGATTTAATTTTATAATTTAATTTAGTAAAAACATAGATTAGTACGTAGATTGTGACAAATATAATATATTTTTTGCTAAACAAAAAACACAGGATTTAAAGGAAGAATTTAAAAACTCATGTTGTAATGCATTTATGTTAATCATCAGCTTCAAATGACCCACTTAATGGATTCCACCAAAAGTGCTGAAAACTTCTTTGTGAGTTTTTGCTGCTAATGTGCAACTGAATATGCTCAAACTGGGTGCCCTTCAGCTTAGTAAACAATATGCTTGCTAAAATTACTGCTGCCTCACCAAAACCATTGTGATATGGTTTGACATTTTTTAGTTTATTCTGCAGACTACCTTATATGACATAAAGGTTTCTAATTTGGTTTGCAATTTTGACACACAGCTTCTATTGGTACAAACAGGGTATGGTTAATTAAAAAGACGGAGGCAGAGAGAGAGAGCAATGCAGATTCGTTCAACAGGACTATTTTTCCAGGTTGGTGTGTGTAAACTTTACAGAGAAGCAGCAGTTTTATCACATTCACTCCCTGTAATAGCACATTGCCAGTCATTTCCTATTTGTCTTTTCTGACTCAAAGCAAGCAATGTGTGTTACAATAACAACTGCATTAACAGATTATTTTGGGCCGGCTGGGGTGTAACAGGGCAGCTAAAACATGTCAAAACACAACTGAATTATTTCAGCTTTTTAAGTTATGATAACTTGTTATAAACCATTTGCATTTTTACAACAGTAGCATTCATTTGGAGTCTGGCAAGTCCACTATTCAGGCTCCGTTTAGCTCCGTTTTGCTCTCCACAATCTCCTCCGAGCAGCAAAATGCTCCACCATGGTCCGCAGCAAGTTGCTAATTGGGTCCGTCTGCAGTTTGGTGCTGTGCAGGCAGCATTCAGTGGGTTTTTAGAGGTTTTTGTATTTTTGAAGAGCTGCCTGTTGCTGCTGGAAACAAGGTTGAAGAGAGCGGTAGGGCTAAACCAAACAATTAGCTGACAGACTCAAAAAAAGGAGCTGTGGAGCTGAGAGGGACTGCAGAGTCAGGCAGTAATACTCTGTGAGTTAGTCACTATGTGTGCCCTCTTTTACATCACACACACATTGGTGGCAGCTAAACCATTGTAAATATAAAACATATTGAGCTGCTGTATGTCCCCATACAAATACAACATTTCAAAACCACCCTCAAGCTACAGGCCACAGTCTTTTTCACCACATTGCTGACCAAAATGTATCAAATCCTCCTACAAGAAACCCAGAACTATTGGAGGTAAATCACATCCGTGTTGCTGTGTGTTCTGGATCTGTTAGCCTAAAGTGTTGCTGCTGCTGCTGTGTTTGCTTCCCTGTTACGGTGCCTACAGTATGTGACCACAGGTGCCTGCCTTCAAGTGCTCCTGTTCCCCAAGAGCACCAATTATACAGCAAGTATTGTGAGTGCTTTGTTAGTTAACGCTGCATCAGTCAAACTCGCAGTTTGGCAACCCAGAATGGCTGCAGGACTAAATTACCAAAACCCATGTAACGTGGTGTCATTAAAAAGCTCAGGCTTACATTTTGGGGTTTTTCTGCAGCTGTGGATTGAGAGATGTTTTTTTCCCTGAAAGTTTATCAATGGTTATTCAAGACTTTTGACACTTGGTTAACGAAATAAACATTTTTGTTTGAGTTTTGTACATTTTTACAAAATGTTTCTTTTCATTGTGGGGGATTATACAATGATGATTAGTGTTTGTTTGGATACTAATTGTGTTTTATGTTTGGGTAGTTCCTCTAATTAATTTGGAGACAACAGCATCAGGTCTACTTATCTTATCCAATCATCTCCAGTTCTGCTAAGTGATAGGTATTTCACCCTCTCTGGGTCATTCAGTGTCACTTGAGTGTAGTTGTCTTTAAGTCACATGAGCTGTAAGCATTGCATGGATCGAGGTGCGATTCAGTGCGAAAGAAACAGTAGTGCCAGACTGGCATTGTAAGAAGCGGATAGCCTAAAGATTTATGCCACCTGTTCAGACGGCACTTTGCATTTGGTGTCTTGTGGGCAGGAGGCCCCAAAAGGAAACACAGACAGGAGGCAAGTGAACTTCCAGATGGCTGTAGTCCTACCTGAATCCCAATCAGGATGCCTTTCTCTGGTAGCTTAAAGCCCGTGGAGAGCATAGCCTTCAGGAAGGCAGAATAAATGTTTGGTCCAAAACAAGCGACCTGCAATAAAACACACATAGACGCACATGAGAGTATCTGTTAACACTGAATCGCCAAACTAGATGGGAGGGGAAGAAATAGACTGCACATCAGACATAATGGGTTGTATGACTCCCAGGGCCTTACTTCTCCAGTGGAGGCCATCTCACAGCGAAGCACAGGGTCTGCATCCCTCAGCCGGGGCCAGGAGAACATGGGTGCCTGGTGAAACAAGGGAAGAGGGGAGCGATCATAATGATTAACAATGAAAACAACGTACTAACAGTGGAGGTATTACAACTAATAAATACTACAAAAGTGGCAATCAATACAGAATAATTTCCCACATAATTGACATCAGTCCATTGGGATTTCATGACACTGCTAGCATCTAGAAGCAAAACAAAGCTTGCATTCCCCTAAAAAGTAGCAGGTGAACCACGCCGGTGGCAGTTGCTTAATAAGCTTATGGCAAATAATATCCGTTTAAAGGCTCATACAAACTACCAAATACTACTAGTTATTTCATTTGCACCATTTCTGCTTCAATATAAATTGTTAAGCAAGAGAGAGGTATGGTAACACAGAGAGTTAAGGAGGTTAGTGCTACAACTGCTGGTGAAGACGGACTTAAAAAGGAAAATCTGATAAGAAAGGAGTCTTCTCAAACTGCAGGCCACCGGTCGCTCTAACAGCCAGCATGACACCCCGTCTCCACTGTCAACACTGAGAAGAAGGTAGGTGGCCTGAGTGATGGAGCAACAGCAGGGTGAGTCAGAAGATGAGAGGGTGTGGAGGAAAAGAGAAAAAAGGAAAGAAGATAGAGACGACAGGAGACGAAGAGAAGACAGTGAGGAGAGGGAAAAACATAAAAAGGGAGAAAGAATACAATTACTTGAGAGAAGAAGAGATGGAATTAAAGGAGGGAACAAAATGAACGAATGTTAAGACAGGATAAATAAACTTAACAATTAAAGGAACATGAAAAAATTGAAATTGGGGAAGAGAATAGAATGAAAAGGGGGAAATTAAGATACATTTTATATTTTAAAAGAGGGGATGGGGAGAAGAGAACGATTGAAAGGAAAGTGTTGGAACAAGAGCAGAAGACCGTAGTTTCTCATAATTTTATTACAGACAAATTAAGAATAGTGGGGTGCCATGTGGAAAGACATTCTTATTCCCCCATTTAAAAGTCGACAAACCACATTACCTTGAAGAGAGAGAGAGAGAAAGAGAGATGGTGTGGCGTTGTGTGACTCATGTATATGCGCGCACACACACACACACACACACACACACACACACACGTAGAGGCAAGGGCCACTAGGGGGGGATTCATCCTTGAAAGGGGCTTTCTAATCAGCTGAATGTAATGTTAGCATACTAATGTAAGAAGGGACGAGTAGAATACAGACAGGGAACCAGCATCGCTTATCATGGCTTTGTTCAAAGAGTCAGAGAAAGACAGAAAAATATGCATAGATAAAAAAAAAACAGAATGTTACCAAGAAAGAAAATGGAATAGAGGGAGAGACACGCACAGAGAGAGAGAGAGAGAGAGGGGGGGTATAGCAGTGAGAGGGAACTTTTAATAGTGCAATAAAAGAGACAAGAAACTACAATAAAAAGGAGGAGAAATTGTGAAATACAGGACATGAGTCACACAAAGACATGTGGCTGTGGGTCTTTGTGTAAATCCAGAATATTGGATTTGTACATAATTCCAATAAAAAGGGGGTTCCCCATTTTACACAACCAAACCAACATGTTGAACCAAATCTGCAACAAACACTTAAAACTATGAAGCAGGAAGTGGAAAATGTAAACAAGAGCGGTTAGAAAAATGGCATCACCTAACACGGGTGGAGATTGCACTGGTCTTAAAATGAGAAACCTTGGCCTTTATGAACAGAATTATAAAAACCTCCGGGGTCTCAGTTATTATGGTTTGTCGTCCAATTGCAATGATATGTCTCCGGGAGAGAATGTATGCGACTGTCACACAATAACCGAGGCTCTGTAACCACAACATCCAACTAACGCACAGACGCACTACTTCCCCCATCCCTCACCGACCGCCCACTCCTGAGAGACAGTAGAATTGTGAAGCTCCACAACATGAACAATATTATCTTGGCATACCAGCTGAGCTCCAGTGGAGAAGGAAATGAATAAAGTAAGACATTTGCACATAACATTGCTGCACACTATGGGCCTTGTTAGAGGGAAAAGTGGCACTTGTGTAAATGTCTTTATCTTCGCAGCTGAGTGGAAATTAACTACATTAGCTACATTTGTACATACAGATTTTGTTATGAGAATTCCCACATTTTTTTTGCTGATGATGGAGGTTTTGATTGTACTACCAGGGGTTGGTATACATCTTCCATAGGTCATTAATAAGACATTACTGTGAAGTATATACACTAGATAGCCAATGCTAGGTGTTTGCTGCTCAGGAACGCCAAAATCAACACAAAATGAAAACCACATAAAGTGAAGGAGCGACTTTACTTAACATCCTCCTGTACAGTAGCTGGCTGAAAGTCTGAAAAAGTGTTAAAAAAGGAAAAAGCTTTAACTAATACTTCAAAAAGTTCAAAAGATGTCAAATTGAGTTATTTCGTCAAAGGACTCCTATTATTCTCTATGAAGAAGAGCAGCGTTAATGCAAATCTCTAAAACAATATTAAGAGGTTGCTACCAAAAGTCAAAACATTTTTCAATACATCATACAATTATTTGGGCAGTAAATTGCACGCTGGGAAAACTATGTGAGATATGATAATAGTGCACACTGATCAGCAAGCATTCTAATAAGTATTGCTTGTATCTGACACGGTGGAGACATACATTAACCATTACAGTAAGTCAATCAACACCTTCACTAGCAGATGTGTTTCTATGTCAACATCCTTTTGTTCAAGTTAATTAACTTGACCTCCTTACATTGAACCTTTTACAGAAATGTAAGTCCAGTTTGATGTTCCCAGCATGCATTTTTCTTGAGTAATTGGGCTCACAAGAATGCGTCTATCTCAGAAGTCACTATAATGTCCTGTATGCCGTGGTCAGGGGGACCAAACGTGCAACAGCCGGAAGTTATTCTTTTTTTTCAGCCAGTAAGTGTGCACCAGGGACAGACACCCAACCACCAAATCCACTTCCTCCTCCTCAAATGTTTTCACGCTCCTCTTCTTCCCACTATAATAAATACCACTGTGTTATTGTTCCTATGAGTTTTTTTGTATATGGTAGAAACAAAATTACACAATGGGGACTTGTTAGGGAAGTGAAAACATGGCCTCAAATGAGGGACTGTCAGAAAGAGAGAAAAAAAAAAGAGACAACAAGAGCAACCGAGTGAGGATGAAAGGAAATGAGACGTATAAATGAAGTTGGTCTCTCTGGATAGCAATGACTAATAGCAACTGTGTGATGTGATGACACAGTGAGGACTGTGTGGATGAAGGCTGAGAGAGTGTATTTTGATGGCACACACTTCAGGCTACTAAGGCTGGATGTAGTTTCAGACATCACAGTGTGTTTTTAGTGGGGGCTTGATGTCGAGGCAGCAATAATGTGTTAAACAGGTAGAAAGAAACCACCACCACTTCAATAAAAAAATAGTCATGTATTGTGTATTGTGGCAGTGTTTCAAGCACGGCCCATATTAGTCAGGGGGTATGAAGTCTGTATCATAGACTCCAAGTAAACTCCAGAAGTCTTTTAAGCCTGGCGCCTGGAGTATTCAGAGCTCTGATTAATATTCCTCACCACTGTGCAGACTAGAAATTGAAAAACTTTAGGTGGTGGGGAAGAGAGGGGGATTATACCTGCGTGATTGGCTCCGAACTACAGCCATTGTTACAGCAGCTCTGTTGTAATTAGAGGGAGAAATTACTTTGGAAAAAATAGCTTTGGAACAGCTGGCGACACGTAAACTCTCTCGTACCCAATCTAAGAAGTAAGCCTCCAAGCTGCTATGAGAAAGCACCTACTACTCCCCTCCCCCCCTCCTCCCCCCATCCAATCATGCCTAGGTGGAGGGATGGAGCAGTAATTGCCATCTTTGTTATGTGATCCAATAGAAGCTTTACTCGTGAAACCTGCAGCATCTATTAAGATATCATACATGTAGTACTCTTTACAAAGAAGCTAATTGTCCGATCATTACTAATACATTAGGCTGTCAGAAGTTCAGAGACATGGCTATAGGGACTTCAAAACGTTTTAAAGTCACTTTTACATAAGTAGATTTTTTTATTACTATATTTTGATTTGAAAGCATGATCCAGTGATTTCACTTCAAATATTGTAACGCTTTCCCTAAAAAACCCTGTCCTCATGCTCAAATAGGCTCTGCTTGCATTTGGATTTTTGCTTAAACTGTATGTTTGCACTCAGATTTCTACTCTGTGGTCGGATATTTCCTCTGCTTTAGGATTCTTGTTGTGCAATAACCCTTACAAAATTCCCCAACTAATAGAAGGCCAGGTGTAGTGTTGACCAATGGAATGATCCCTGCCTCGTGGTGTTCACTTTACTTCTCAGAGCGACCCTGATGAGCGGTTCCTCTTAAACCTGGCCCTCCAAGGCTTTATTATGTACTTTCCTTGCTTTCTTTATAATTTTTGAAATGAAATCACAATATACCAGCAACAGCCTGTACTTTTTCCTTTAACTGTATAATAATGATGCCGCTGCTATTACTGGAACCAACTTTGCATTTAGCCATACGCTGACAAGGACGCCATGAATTGACCACGTCAGCCTGCTTGTGGACAGCTGCACACAGAGACTGAGTCATTAGCTTTCTAATGCTAGTTAAAACAGTCTGCCCCGTCTGTTTAATACATTCACGGTCTGTCCATATTAAGGCATCTACCTCACTGCTATAATTTAGTCGTGTAGATCCCCTCCACTCTTGAACTGAATATACTCTTGCGATTCTTACTGGCATATGTGGCGAGTACCTGTGCCACGAACTGTAACCTGCTCCACTGACCAGCAGTGCTCATTCGCCCTCTAGTATTATAGTAACAGAAAAAAGTACGGGCGACGTGTTGTTAAAAAGTAATGCTAAACGGTGCTCTGGCACCATTTGGTGTTACTTTTTACGTCTCCTTGGGTCCAGAAACAGGCATCAGGCAGCACAGGATCACGTTTGAAAGGATTTTATCATTCATTACCTTGGACCTTACTTGTACACTGTGTGGCTGGGACACAATATATAGGCATTTTACCAATCGAAGCATTTTATAGACTAGAACGGCTAAAAAGAAAACGCATGTGCTTGAAGGCACATTCATTTATTTAAGAAGTTAAGAATCTTTATGTTTGGTGAAATGCTGCCAACAAACTTGAGTGCGGTTCAGAAAAGCAACAAACGGTTGACCGAAAAATGTCAGCCAAATGACCCATGTACTTTTTTAAGATAAGATTAACAGATCAGAACAAATACCTTCTTGAAGCCAGAAGCAAATGTTTTAACATACACACATAGAAAAGCTTAGCCTGACAGCCCTCTCTGACATGGTGCAACTTCTACTCTAACTTCTAGTTGAGAAATGTAGCAGAGAAAGTAGTTCCACTTGAGACCAGACTCTTTTCGCAGAAGACTTAATAGTAGGAACACTATTAATAACACTAATAATAATAATAGCTCCATTCTTTTTAAATTAGGCAATACCAAGAACATCAAACTGAAGCAACTAAATGGAATTCATGAATCACTTTATTAAATTACACCTGTACTTTTTGACAGTGAAGACTGAATAAAAGGAAAAATATAATTGAGTTGTGTGTGCAAACCCTACTGTGTCAAAGGGCCCACCATGATTATTATCTCTGGTACTTATGGCTGCATCTAAGCCCTGCTTACACTGGGCAGACCATTGTATAGCATGCTTGTGTTTAAGCCATTAATCAGGAAAGTCCTCACTTACTTACTGTAGAACGCTGTCAACTTCTTTTTCTCAGTTATTATCCATACATCCATCCATTCACGCTCTGTGCTCCATAAAAAGTCAACATTAAAATGAAACAAATAACGATTGAAGAAAGCCAGTCACTCAGTTTCCAAGCTCACAGCAGTTATTTTCAGTTTCCTCTCTCACCTTGATGCCAACGTAGTCTACAGGTATGATGGGGTTCTCCAGAGAGGGCAGGCTGGCCTCATCCAAAGGCTCTCCCACCATCACTCTGGTCGCCACATTGATGAAGTCCACACCGATTGTTTTTGATACAAAAGGGAAGGAGCGCGACGCTCGCAGATTACACTCTATCACCTAAATGGGTACGCAACAGTCATTTCAAAAAAAGCAAAGAGATACTTATTTTTACAGAGTAATAAAGCTAATCAAAAAATAAACACATATCAGTGCGGATATGTAGATTACAAATGCACCAACATACTGTACGTGCACATTTCCTGTATGTGTGCTGTAGCTGGAACATCAAAACTGAAGGCAACAGCATTGATCATAAAATCCATCAAACTTGGCAAATAACTCTGAACACAAGGGGATTTCAATTTGCGAGTGAATTGCATTTTGCTGCAACCAGCTGTGAAAATGCTGATCTATCATTTAGTCGTAGCCTGTGAAATATTACCTACCATGACATCATTGCCTTTAACCAGAAATTGAGTGTTAAAGGGCCCCGAAATTTCAAATGCCTGCGCAATTTTCCGTGTGGCAATCTTGACCTAAGAGTGATGAAAAATGCATACACAGATACAATATTTATAAGGCCGGCTCAAACAGTTTCATCCCGTAATATCTCTATAGACACAAATGTAGAGCATTTTCTTTTGCATAATGTAAATTTTGGTTTAAATACACACACACACAGCATATGGGTGAAACTGCTGGTTTTCCATGCAATATCAATATCAATTGGGTCATTGTATTATTGGTATGGTTTGAGTGTGAATGCTGAGGATGACTGAACTGACCTTTTCTAGCGCCCCCTGGCTAATAGACTGGGTTGGTAACATTAGGGTGGCATCTCCCGAGTGTACCCCAGCATCTTCAACATGCTCCGTTATGGCATGGGCCAGAACCTGGACACAGACACACAGTGATTGTAACACTCAAAAAGCATTTGCATGCAGATCATAGCTCTAATAAGCATTGGAAATCCCTACTCAAGGCAACCTAACTAACAGCCTCGCTCCATTTCTCTGATGAGAATTTTTCAGGCTTAGAGCCAGATGGCCTCCAGACTTGATGCGTTTATACCTACAGTATGTCACGGTGCAAAATATTATCCTAAAATGCAGTAGCACTCTCAACACATAGTGAGCCAGCTCAAAAAACTATGAGCACTTGGATGAATAGAATAAATTCAGTCATGGCAGATAAAAAAAAAAAAAATCTGTTCAGGACAAAGGGTCTGTATTTTTTTGACGCAGGACTATGTAAGAAACAATGTACGCGGATATGCGGTGTCAAAAGAATGACTTCCAACATTTCACCCACAGGAAAGGAGATTTGTATCACCAAGCAACTCTGTGCGTGTGTCTGTTAATGAGCTGCCGTGTCATTAGCTCATTTAAACTGCTGCTAACCACAGCATTCATTAGCACTCTTCAGATAGAGCCTGTAATTAATAGGCATTATCTCTGACTTTTCCACTCTCACACACACACACACACACACACACACACACACACACACACACACACACACACACACACACACACACACACACACACACGCCAGGAATAATGAGGCCTTTTTGGTATTCAATGAATGGACAGCTTGTTAATGTGATACTGAAGATAAAGAAGGGGCTGTATTCAGGGAAAGTAGAGAGAAAATCTACCATACAACTGGATTGCCCACGTTCCAAATAACACCCTTGAAATGACTCCCACAGCCTAAACAATAGGAAAACAAACAGGCCATTAAGGACAAGTACCTAGGTGGCCCTATCTCCCAAAGCAACCTACAATAATAACAATTATAGTTACATTTGTTTTAAAAAAACATCTTACTCTTAAGGGACTGATCATGTAAAACTTTAATGTACAGGAATCATCAGTCTTTGAGATACACACGTGTGCCTCTTTATACTGAGTAACCTGTGGATTTACATGTCACACGCATGATAGTATGGGCGAAAGAAGTATATGCAGATCCCTTCCAGACATGAGACGTTTCAAAATAGTGTGCTTTACATTAAGCCCAATATGGTTTTCCCACAAAGAAAAACCTATTACCTTGCCTCCTACTCCCCATTGAAAAATCCAGAATCTATTAATATGCAAATATTATTCATTTGAAATGTTTAACTGCTGGCTACAAGATGCCTCCTACTTTACTAAAAAGGGCATAATCAGCGTTTGTGACCTGGAGGTTTCATGTTTCAACACCGCACTTGTGTGAGATAAGTACTGGACCGTGATGATTGGCTGCCGTTCTAGTTGTGATGTCACAAAATAATGCTTGTACATTCACTTTTTAACTGAGATTTAAGTTGAGTGCGGATAAACTTTACCCCAGCCACAGATGAATTTAAATAGAACCTTCTAGTGTCAAACTCTGCGCATACTATATGATACTATACATAATACTTTCTGAATTGTATGATACTACACTGTACTCTAGTGCTTTATTTTGAAATGTACTAATTATTCTGTGGAATAAATTAAGCAGAAGCATATATTCAAAATAAAGGCAACGAAAATTACAAAGCTGTGTTGCATGTCAATCAGATATGAAAACAGTTTGTTGAACAAGAATCATTTCAATCTGCCCTAAACTGATCTAATCTAGAAAATGAGTATCACCACTTCCCTGCATTTTGTCTTTAATGTATTCCACTCTTCCAATCCGATCCGTCTGTGCTGTAATGTCTTTCCACCGAAGATGAATGAGATTATTTCCACTTTATTCATCTACTGGGCTCAATATCTGTCCTACCTCTCCGTTTAAACTGAAAAATAATGGAGGACTGAAAAACGCCATGCTACAGAGATAAATAACAATACTGTAATATACTGTTATGAATGAAAATATGGTCGAACGGGGTGTCAATATTAATAAAAGCCGACTACAGATTGTTCTTTCCCATGGCTGTAACCCAAAAGCTCATGTAACTAGACACAACACGTCAGTAATGTCTCACCTTGCCACCTTTGGCTACAGCATCCACCTCTACCTCCCTGGCACCGCAGATGAACTTGGTGATGACCACCGGATGTTCCTGGAGGAAAGACAGCAGTATGGTTAGTCTATCAATGAATAAAAGGGAAATAACACACTTCTAACAAGGGAAACTCCTACACTGCTCATCTGATTGGACATTAGCATCCTTATATAAAAACCTGGTAGGTCATCAATTTATAGTAATTAATGTGCAAAACAATGTGTCACAATTCAAAGACTTCACTGTGTGAATATGTTGTAATAGTTGAGTGTGACACAATAATATTTCATTATTACTCTATTAAACCACTACCACAAAATTAAAAATCATCTTACCCGTCGTGCTATTTATAAATCTAGATTGTTTGGCGAGTTGCCTAGTTTTGGAAATATCAACCGTAGAGATGCTAGCCTTCTCTCGGATATAATGGGACTAAGTAGCACGGAGCTCGTGCTAAAACACATTTTCACAAATTGTTGTGAGCAGTTTCATATATGAACAATCTAGATTGATAAAAAGCACTACGGGTAAGAGGAAAAATATGTATTTTTTGGATTTTGGGGTGAGCTGTCCCTTTAACCGGCTTGTGTTGGTGCTTTGAAGGTGTGATATGGGCATGTGTGGGCATGCCTCTAGTCCCAGGCAGGGGGCCATTGGAGGGGCCAGGTGCCCCATAGCCACCTGAGGGTTCAGTGAAGTAGAGATGCACACACTATACTAGCCAACAGCCACGACAGCTGGTAGCATCAGTTAATTGAAAGCTCAGGGAGAATCCAACACGAGAAAGAGAGTGCGTGTGTGTGAGAGAGATAGAGTGTGATCGCTTCTCAGCTAATGCAATACAAGTCAAGACGTCAAAAGGTCTCCCTCCCACGTACGTACACGTATGGTCTCCCTCCCACGTACGTACGCGCACACACACACACACACACACACACACACACACACACACACACACAC